AGTGATCAGAATGTTTGAACTTTAGGTCAGACATGTCTACAGTCTTTAGTCTCTACAATACAGAAGATGGGACAGTGTTCTAAATTTTGCCAGACATAAACAGATAAGGATTACACAGCCAATGGAACTTGTAGCAGCTAAAGGTCCCAGCGACAGCCCACTCAGCTAGCATCTCATAGCAACTCGCCAGCAGGGTATTTACCCCAGGCCGGTCCAGAGGGCAGGTTAAAGATTTTGGTTTTTGATCTGCCTGATACCAAACCAGGAAATGAATAACGCAAACAATAATGCTTTTACTTCTGCTTGTTGGCCCCCAGAAGAAAAGTGTACACCCTCACCATGGTGATTGCTTCCTTGCTTCCCCTAAAGGGATGCCGTCATTTAGACCACTAGATTCCTCCTCTTGTTCCTCTATCTCTGGCTCCTAAGGATGTTGGGCCGCTTGAATCCTTCCCCCTAACCCTCCAACAACTCCCGAACCCCCATAGCTCAGGCCTTTGGGGAGACCTGGACCACTCGTGCTGGAGTGACCGTGATCCAGGGAATGTGCTATCATGCAGTAGAACTCACTTCAGCGCGGAGTGCAGAGCTCTTCCCATCTGGCCACGCTATTCGTGTCGTTGGTCCATCCTTCGAACCATCTGCCCAGCGGTCCTTGGATTTCAGCAAAGGCCCGGACACGAGAACCACCGCATGCTCTACCTGTGGATATCCGACTCCGGTTCGGGGCGTTTGCCCATGACTCCTTCGTTCTGTCGTCATCTTTGTAATTTGCACTTCGGACGTACAACAACAATCTCAGACGAAGGTGTGAAGGAAAGTCCTCCTTGCTGCGGCATTTAGAAGTTCACTTTTTCATTACTGCATGATTCTTCCTTCATGTTCTTCTTCTGTCATTCTAGCTTTAATGATTTAGGCGGCAAAGTCGCTCTGGGGTCATACACAGATTAATTAACTGATTGATTCATAAATTTTATCTTTCTCCCAGTAGATACACACGGGCCATTCGGGTACAACTGTTTATGATCCCACTACAAACTTGACAATTCCTACAATTTTGCTTCTTGCTAAAAAAGTCAACGTGGTCGTCAGCATAAAGCTCATAAAAAATTCAGGGGATTGTTTTCACACTGAACATGTGCTGTGAATGTTTGCAGGCTAAGAGGGAATGCATTAGAAGGGAAGAACGAGTTGCCCATGTATTTTCTGCCCCGGTTTTCTCTCGGCATCTATGATAGTCAGAAAACTTTCACAACCTTCAATCGATTTGTTCAGCACCTAATATGTTCTTTCTTTTAAATGAGTACTTTGATCCGTGGAGTGTGGCTCGTAAGAGGACGTGTGAGTGGGCAGCTTGCTTCTGTCATACTGTTTGGAAATGTTCCTGTACCATTTTGTGTTATTTGCTTTGCTTCTCCGTGTGAATCTGACTGCTTTGCATCCAAGAGGAGATCAGGCACAGCTTCATCCACAGTGTGGCGTAGGATTGCCATTCAGTCAGAGTCATTCCATAGCTGCATTCAACAACAGCTGCGCAATGTTGCTTTAAAAAAAAAACACTTACAAACACTTTGTGATATGTTTTGCTCCATTCTGAACAACCCTCCACAACTCATTCCCTCCTCACTGTCACTCACTTTAAAAGGTTTTTTATCATGTTTTCTCACATATACTGTATATACATCTATATACATGTATATACATATATATATATATATATAAATATATATATGTATATACATATAGAGAACCCTTATGTTCTTTAAAACTTGGAATGCTGACAAAACAAGTAGAACGAGAAGAAGAGTGATTCCAAAGACTTGTCCGTTGCTGTCACTTTGTGTCAAAAGTTCCCACAAAGCACCACTTTGCAGCAGTTGAACATCTCCACAAAGCAGCATCCAGGTCACCTCGGCTGGAGATGCAAAGTGACGACAGCATTTGACTGAGGTTTGTGCTCTCGACAGAAGGTGAGGAGGTGGAGGATAAGAGATGGAGGAGAAGAGAGGGAAAGAGGCCGATCTGATTGGTCAGGCCGCAGATCCGGAGAGTTGATCGTGTGCCAGGTTGTTATGGTAACGCTGTCAGAGGAAGTGGTCACTCATCATCTTGATGAACTCTGGCACCTTGGACCTGGGGGACACATAGAGGGGGGAAATAAAGAGTGGGGGCGGGGCATGGGTGTGTACTCCCACAGAATCACACACAAAGGCTGTGTCTCAAAGTCGCTAGGCTGCATCCTTAAGGACGCATTTGTCGACCGCATACGTCACTTCTGATACAACTCGCCTGTTCCAATCTGTCGGCTCCTCCGAACGTGGTTGAGGGACGCAGCCCTCCAGGAGCCGATTTGGAGGACACATCTGATCTATCCTTTGCGGCCCACCATATCCCAGCATGCAGTGCGGGCCGACGAGGATTTAATTTATTCAGCACGGAGGCGGCTAACTGGAAATGTTCTTCTCTCAGCCTGAAATATATCACTCTCCGGAGGAGAAGCGTATCTTCCTAAATTGAATGAAATATGAAGAACTGTATCTTCCTTACCTCTACTTTATACGTTTTTGGGGGTTTTACGGCTTTTATTGTTAAGATCAGCAGGTTGCTAGGCAACAGGAGCAGCGGAAGTAAAGCTGATGACGCAAGCAGGACGTCCCCCCGTAGGCCAGACCGTCCCATTTCAGAGGCCGCTCGGTTCAGCCCATACGGTTGTTGGAGGACGCAGCCCGAAGGCTGCTGAAGGCTGCAGGCTACAAGGATGCAGCCTAGCAACTTTGGGACACAGTTTCAGAGACAAATTCACTCAGAAACAGTGAATTGGTTCCTCATAGGTACCGCGCTTCGTCAACTGTCGCACCAACAGCGCCCCGCCCACCGTGGACGCGTAAGGAGAAATGATTACACGTCTCGGCGGCGCCCCATTCATTTCTCTAGAAGTTGCTCAGTGGAGCATTACATAAAAAAAGTTTGACTTCTGAGTATAAAATGAACCAGATCTGCCTCGTCCAAAGAAAATGAACCAGGAAGCATCACAGTTACTGTGATTGAGAGGTCGGTGCCCTACCAGAGCAACATACTGTGTCATTTTGTAACTTAATGGCCGCAAAAGGCCGTAATTGAAGATGGCTTGGGGAGCGTCGGTCTCATGTTCATTCACTTAAATGGAGGACGGAAAAGTCTTTTTGTAAGACATGAAGATTTGAATAGGGAAACGTTATTCAGCTCACAAAATCCTCCTCTGAGTTACAGCCGTCTCCTTACGGAAGTTTATGTGTCCCAGAGCATCACATAACAAAAAATAGTCCTTTTCTAACATATATAGTAGATGGATTTTGAGATTTGATGACACATTGTGTCAGTTTTGTTGGAGCCTGATTTGCCAAGTAGGGCAGAGACTTATCAAGCCAAGTTTATCCAACCAAAAGCTGTCAAAATAGAAAGGGAACAGTTCCGTTGAGCGTGACTGTGCTCATTAAACTCAGGGGTCCATAAGAATCCTTTTCTGGTTGTTTTCCTTAAAATGATAAGAAATATACATTTCTACTACTACAGACAGTTTGGCCATCACTAGATCACTAGCGTAGGGCTGCACGCTATGGCTAAAAATCCATATCTCTATATTAGGAAAGAGTCTGACGGTATCCCGGTATATCACGGTAATTCATTCACCCCGAAAAGGCCCGGCGCTACCCGAACAGCTGTTTGCCGCTGGCCGCGAGTTAGCTTGTTAGCGTGTTAGCGTGTTGTGGCTGCAAACAGCTGTTCGCCTCTCGCTGGCCAACTTGCTAGCAGCAGAGTTACTTCTTGTTGTGAGCTTTACCCAGCATGCAGTTCAGCGGGGTCATTTTTATAAAGGTACAATTATTAGTGTTGCAAATTGTTTGTGTGTCACAAGCTGTTGTGTTTTATCCTGTTAAAGAGTGTTTGTTGTTATAAAGTTATAAATAAAGTTAAATCTGATACCGGTACACCGTCTGAACCCGTACACCGTGCAGCCCTACACTAGTGTTCATGCTCTGGTGACCATGAATGTCATTACATTGTACATTCTTAGTTTCAGGGGGTTGTGCACTAATGAAAAACATAGTTATGAATATCATATCGGCGAAAAGATCACACAACACACACTTGAAAGAAGCCATGTAGTGTTGCACTATGGCACAGTGTTCCATCACTCTGTCTTGTTGTTAAACTCCTTTTAACAAGGTACATTCGTAGGAAACAATGTGGCGTTGTGCAATTGCAGAACAAAGTAGAGCAACAGATACACACAGTCACACATTAAAATCACACTTACTGCCAATCTGTTGTTGAAATGTACCAGACCCGACAGAAACTCAAGTTCTGACCTCTGATTTTGGACTAAATCGTCACAGATCATCAGCTCAGTCAGATATTAATAACAGGAGCTTCTCCAAATGAGTCATTTGACCTCATTGCCATGTGTCCATGATGTCCATGTCAATTTTAACCTTTTAACCTGCATAATAATGGTAAAAACAATATATCCCTTTTCATCTGTGAATGTGGGGTTTAGAATGATTTCCAATAGGTGTTGATTTATTAATTGATTTAAAATTCACTTACATTTAAACTACTTGTACTTCGACTACTACTACAACATCTGTTTAAATAAAGGCATTTTTATTCCTTAACATATGCCAAATAGGGCGCTGTGTTTGCTTTACCAGAATCTTCCTGAACCAGAAGTTTTTGTTTCTATAATTCTGTTAAAAGGTACACAGACAATGAATTAATAGAAAGTTCCTTTTCCCTTTGAGGGAGCGCAAATGTGTTAATGAAGGATATATTCAGCTCAAATTGTTTTCATTGAAGACATGTTTCTTTTGCCACAGTTCAGTCAAACTTTATGGTAAATGATTTACCAGTTAGCTGGTTTCTGAATTCTGATTCTTAGGTCTTTTGTTAAAGGTACAACAGCAGATTAGTTTCTAAGTGAAATCTTCTGACCATTCGGGGGGGGGGGGGGGGGCTGGGTTTTACATTTGTCCCAGCGGGTTTGACGCGTCGCTCATGGCATGGTGCGCTGCGGCCAATGAGAGGGGAGCCTCGTCCGCTGACACGGCGCCCTTCTTCTCCTCGCGGCGCTTCAGACAGGCGGGTTTGGGATTCAGGTTCCGCTCTGGGCGAGGGAAAAAGGGAGAAAGGGAGGGAGAGGGAGAGAGGGAGAGAGGGAGGGAGAGGGAGAAAGAGGGAAATAGAGGGAGAGGGAAATAGAGGGAGATAGAGGGAGAAAGAGGGAGAGGGATATACAGGGAGAGAGGGAAAGGGAAAAAAAGGGAGAGGGGAGACAGAGGGAAACAGGGAGAGAGGGAGGGAGAAAGGGGGGGAGGGGGGGTAGGAAAGCTAAGAACATGAGCCAGGGTTGAACAGTCACCAGGTGCCACTGCTGCCCTCTCATGGAACTCGTTCAGCACCGCATATGTTGAACTACTTTTCACCTCATGAACCTCGATTTCCAAAATACAAAGTAACTTCAGATTCAAAGCAGAGGAAACTAAATATGGAATATTACCAGTCGTTAAGATCCACAAATTACTAAAATGGAATACTGCAGTCAAAGAAGGTTCAAGATGAATACTACTTCCTATTGTTGATATTGTTGTAATAAATAAATAGATAATCATAAAGCGTATTCGGGGCGTTGGGTGCTTATCTGCACTAAACCGACCTCGCACTTGCTGCTCCAGGCTGAGGATGACGGCCACGGCCTGGTGGAGGATCAGTAACTTGGTCTGGGGTTTGTCGCTCTTCAGGTGCAGCTGCACCATCTTGCCCAGCTCCTTGAACGCCTCGTTGATGTCGCGGACACGCAGGCGCTCCCGTGCGTTGTTCGCCATCCTGCGCTCCCGCTCTCGCTCCATCTTCTGCTCCGGAGACAGGTCCTCGTCGTCGTTGTTGCTGCGGTAACCAGCGAGGGAGGAGGAAGCAAGGGAAGGAGGGCAAGGAGGAAGAGGAGGATATGTTGTTATTTTCTTGCTTCACCGGATGATTCCTTTAGTGGGGGGTAGCAGGGAGCAGGGCATGGAAACAGACCTCTGATTGGTCACGTGGTGATAATGTTGAGTTCACAGACTTGTGAGTTTAAATAGGAAGTGAATATCCAGACGAGGATCCATTCCAGGGCAAACTGGCAGACATGACCCAAGGAAGCACTTTGGATGGATGTTTATTTGACTTCTTGATTATTCTTATAATACTTCTATTTGTGCCAAATTAAAACGAAGGGACTACATTATGAAGCTTTTAATCCCGTGATATTGATCCCGTCTGGAGTAACATCTTTGTTTGTTTAGTGTGAAAATGGAGGAAGGATTTTGTAGTGATCTGATACAGAGAAACAAAAGCTTTGCTGGATCACATGACCGTATGTTTCCAAACCCTGCAGCACAGCTTGGGCCACATTTGACTTGTCTGGTTCATCATCATCATTATGACCCCAACATAATGTACAATCTTAGAGTGCGGCATCCATATGTTTCAAATGTTCCTCTGGATGAGAAATATCAATGCGGGTATGAAGGCTGCTCAGTTTCAACCAGAAAGGGAAATAATCACTGTGAGCAACATTTATCTTTCTATTACTGAGTCCATTTATTGACTGCTTTATACCTGCCGGTGCAATATGTTGAAACACACCTATTGTTTACCACCAAAATCAAGAATACTCATCCCATTCCCAAAGGAGGTTCTTCTTTTTGGCTTGTATTACTGAAGAAAACAGCTGCTCTGGTTTTCCTGAAATGTGGTGGTGGTGTCCAACAGACTCGGAGCTGTTCCAATGCCCCTCACATTACATTCCCTTTGTCTGGATTACTGAACTACTGGCCCTACTTTCCTGAGACTTGGTGGGGTGGACCATGGGCCAAGGAAGGACCCTTTAGGTTCTGCAGGGGAGGGACCCCTGGCTTCCCTGGTGCAGGCCATCTGTGGGCTGCACTCTGAGTGGCCTCGCCAAGTTTTCAATGTTTCTGATGGTGTTTATTTCCCAGCTCTGAGTGCATGGCAGCGCCTCTTGGAGAATAGTCACAGTGGGCTCTACTCTGTTGTGTGAGAAACAGTTAAAATCAGGCTCAAGACCGAGAAGTGACTCACCGGACAAGTTCAGAATAGAGAACTGCCAGGTGCTCTGTGTTCACGTATGTATTTAGCTGCTTCTCATCACACTTGGTCACTTCATCAAAGTCCAGAGGCTGGTTCCCAAAACACGCACAGCTGACAGGCCTTCCTTGTGTCCCCTCTCTCCAGAAAACACCATGGTTCATCTTTGCTTTAGAGCAGCAATCAACCTTAGCTGGACACTGATTGGTGGTTACTGCACAGCCGTAGAAGGAATATCTGTATGAGTCAATCCATGTAAAGTGGCATCAAGCCATTTAAATCTCCACAAATGCTCTATCCCAGGAGAACGCTGACTGGACAAGTTATAGTCGCAGTATTTTGAACTAAATCCAACATCCGCAACGGTTGGTGACTCCTGGAGCGCTCGACCGGGGACGCTTTGACCAAGGAAGGCCTCTGAGTCCGTGGGTGTGTCGGGTTGAACGGGGGTCCCGGCTCAGCTGAGGGGTTTGATGGAGTGTCTGTGAGGTACCTGAACCTAGATCTTAACCTCTCAATTGATTTCAGGTCCTTGCTGTCGCCGTCCTCCTTCTTGGCCTCCATGGACTTTGGGTCCTGCAGGAGATTTTCGTCCCCCTCGTCCTCCGACTTGATCTCGGAGCTGACGGAGGAGGTGCTCTGGCCCTGAAGGCCTCCAGAGAGCGCTGCAGGAAGAAGAGAGGAGGGGTTAGAGATCTGCACGTAGAATACAGGATACGACCCCTTGTTGGGAGGCCGGCATCACTTCCACGGCGATTGGCAAAGTGACCGCTGTCATAGTAACCGTCCTTTAGAAAACTCTGGTGGACAATTCAAGACATGTGAGCGAAACTGTTTCAACTTTCCACATTTTGAAGAAGTAACCTAATTTGAGGTTTTCTTGACAGAGGAGGACAAGGGATGAGGCCACAGAGCGATGAAGGATGAGAACGTTGGAATGAGGACAAACAGCCTGAGGATGACATGCAGGGAACCAGCAGTCACCTGAGCAAAAAAGAGAAAGTGTCTGACTGCTGAAGAAAGTAGAGAGTGTGAATATGTAAATACAGTATGTAGACCACAAGGAAGCTTTTTCCCCCAATTTCGGTAGCAGACAAAAATGCTTGATAAATGAATAAGAAATTCAATTATAAAATGATTAATAAACTTTTTTTCAGTTTTTGAGGTCCTCCCAACTAGCTACAAAGCCACTGTTAAACTGACTGGTTTTCAGAAGGTTGAAAAGGCGCATTAACTGCAACACACAGGAAATCTACCTTAAGATGTTGTCGAGTTGTGCCACAACTTATAAACCATATGAATTCAGCATCCTCGCAGCAAGTCCATCTCTGACATATCGATCATTTCTGACAACAGCATTAGAATCACGTGTGCCACCAGGACGGGGGAATATGGCGGCAACTCCTCCATCACCAAATTCATCCAAATACAACCCAACCCCACTACTGACATATATATATATATATATATATATATATATATATATATATATATATAGTCAGTTCATTATAAAGAGCACGAATACCAATACAACTAACTTAAACCAGTGCATCGTTATTTGGGTGAAACGGCTAACTTGTGTTAGTGTAACTTTCTTCCATTCTGCTGCATCGGCCCGTGTGAGCCGACCTCCAAGATGGTGAAGCCGGGGATCTGTGCCCTTTGTGCTCCGCTCTCATTGGCACAACACAGCAGCCTTTATTGGATGTCGGTACGGCTCCATCTCTGGGAAGCTGCCAACTTCTCAACCAGCAGAAAAGCCTCTCTCACACACACACACACACGCGCGCCTGAAACAATCGGCCATTTTGAGTCTCCGTCTGCTGACTGGAGGCATTTTGTCAGCGGCTTTGAGTGACGGCCTGTGTTTGCTTTGTGTGCCTGTGTCTCCCTCCATACAAGGACTGTTTGTGCTCAAATAGATGCCTGAAAAAAGGCTTTGCACTGAGAAACGTGCCTCTCAGTGTCTGTCTGAAGCCGTGTGTGTCCGTGTGTGTGTGTCCGTGTGTGTGTGTGTGTATGTGTGTGTGTGTGTGTGTGTCCGTGTGTGTGTGTGTGTGTGTGTGTGTGTGTGTGTGTGTGTCCGTGTGTGTGTGTGTGTGTGTGTGTGTGTGTGTGTGTGTGTCCGTGTGTGTGTGTGTCCGTGTGTGTGTGTGTGTGTGTGTGTGTGTGTGTGTGTGTGTGTGTGTGTGTGTGTGTGTGTGTCTCCGTGTGTGTGTGTGCGTTTGGATGTGTGAGTCAGTAGATAAGCGAGTGTGTGTGTGTGTGTGTGTACCTGACTCTCGCCTGATTTCAATTCTTCGCACAGTGAAACAGACAAAATGAAGTAAACTCAAAGATATCAGAATGCGGACTGAATCTGCTCGTTTTTAAATGTGTTGTTAATTAACTACTCTCCCACAATGCATTGCTGCTGCTCCAATCTGCAACCCTGAATTGCCTTCCAAAGATAGAGCGGTTTTCTAACTAGTTGCTATGATTCTATGAATTGTAGTCTGCTGTCAAGACGTCATATGACATAAAATAAAAACATATTGTGGGAGTTGTCGGGGGGGTTTGGTCACTGTCAATCATACCGATCAAACTCCACCCACACAATGCTGCCAAGGCGCATTAGCTGAGTTAGTGACTGTTCACCTTAAGATGCACTCATGCATATTCAATGTTGTGATGTTTCCAGGGGCTTTTAAAATACTATGCGTATGGTTGTGCAGCAGCTGCAGGAAGACAAAAGAAATTAAAAAGCTATTTACAATAGCTAGCATTTCTTGGTTGCATATGGCTTCCCAAAGCGGGACAGTTTGTGACGGACATCGAGCGGTATTTCCTCCAGACTCTGAGTTCATTGATCTCTAAGTTGACTTAGAAAAGTGAAAAGCACATAACACGGCCAAGGATTCATAATCCGACTTGTACAACTGGAGGGGGGGCCTCACCCTAAAGATGTAATTGATGATACATACAGTACGTAAATTCATCACCTAAGGAAATGAAATAGAACCTATTACAGAGAGATAAAGCAGGTGGAACGAATATCAATGATATCAAATTTAAACACAATATACTTGAATAAAATATATTTTCAAATTGAGTTAGGGAGCTGGGGGGAAACCACAAATGTGAAGGGTTTGTGGCCAAAATCCTTTTAATGCCCTCCGTTTACAGCCTCTGCACACACTCATCTGTGTGTGTGTGTGTGAACGGATGGAAGAGTAAGGAACCTCTTTACACACACGTGGTTCTGGCTGCTGCTTGCTGAACTTTCCCTGCCAGCAGACTCATTTCCAGCCTTTAAAAAGGGCTGCAGGCTAATTTGCTCCTCATATACGGTTCTCCTGCTCCGCTTCCACACACATTTGTTTGCACCCTAGTTAGGTTTCCCTTTCCTTTTTTCACTGTGTGGGAGATGAAGCTGAGACCAACACTACGTGTCCACTTCCTGATAGTTTCCTGCTCTTCATCGTCTTTCTTGACATTTTAATCGGTTTCTTATTTTTCCTGCTGTTATTTTTCATCTTTCTCTCCATTAGAGCTACATTTTCTTTTCCTTTCTTCTATTCTTCCCTTTCCTAATTCTTCAGTTGTTTTCTCTTTTTGATATTTTCATACTTCTTTCTCTTCCCTTCAAATACTATTATTTCTTCATGACTGTTTCCTGTCCACTCTTATTTTATTTCTTTACATGTATTTCTTCGTTGTCTGCTCTTCTTCTGCTGTCATCCATTTCCTCTTTGTCTTTATTGTCCTCTTTGCTCTCTTTTTCCTTCTTTGTCTTCATCAGTTCTCATTTAAGCATTATTATTATACTACCATGTGGGATTCGTTGTGCTTGTGTGTGTTTGCCTGAGTGCATGATGGGATATCAGTGGGAACACACGCATGCCACATCAACAACAGATGCTGATGCAGTTTGTTTTTTCTTTTCTCTCAATCCCTCTGCAATCCGTACACGCTGGAATTAAACCAACCGAAATATAAAAGGGGACCCGTACATTTGAATGTATAATTCATCAGTCTGGTGGAACTGGTGTCAAAGCGGGGGCGGGTCTCACCGCGGTACGGGTCGGACTGGTTGATGTCCGGCGATGTGGCCGACTGGACCGGCAGCTGAGGCCCCGCCCCCTGGCCCGCCATCGAGTGCCCGCCGCGCAGAGGGCCCACGCCGCTGCCCTCTTCTCTGTGAGAGCCCACCTGGAGAGGAGAGGGAACAGAAAGACTATTCAATATGGACCAACATGTTGGCAATTTTCGTGCAATAAAACTCAAATCAATCAATTACGTTTAAAACCCCCCAATTCAAGGCACTTCAGAAATGGAGGGAAAATGAAGAGATCAATGGCTCCCAAATTAGAGAGTTTGGTCTTGTGCATGAGCCCTCCGCATTCGTTCACAACGATTCATTTATTCACCTCAGTAAATCCTATAATACTATAATTACTATGTATACATAGTTTATTATTCATCCAGAGGTTTTTAAGTGCTGTCCTGCTTCTCTGTTTTTATGAAATATAATACTTTATATTTATCTAAATCTTACTGTTAATTATTGCACTTTAAGGTGATTGAACGTTGCGCGACAGGAACCAATTGTATCTAATTGTTTTGGTATAAATCCTAAAGTGAAAAACCTCCCTATTTAACACGACATGACAATGAGGCGGTCATAAGAAGCACCGGTGGAGAATGGATGTTTCCTCCAGATGTTGTCGTTCTGTGACCAGCCTGCTGGGGGCGCTCTGCCCTCCTTAGAGCACATGCGTCCTCTCAGTTTTTACATTTCAATGACAATTGAGTAGGAAAACTGTGCTTATCCAGACTGCGTGTCCTTGTGTGCATCTTGTGTGTGTCTCATATCTGCATGTCGGACATGTTTATTTACACTGTTTTCTTCTTCTTTTGGGAACTCTGGTGTGTCTTCTTGTTTTTCATGAGTGTTCTCATGTAAATGCTGTAGGGCTCCATGTGTGTGTGTGTGTGTGTGTGTGTGTGCTTGGCTGACTCCTGTCCATCTGTCTGCCACACGCATGTCCACGCGCACACAAACACACACATGTCCACGCGACAGCACAACAACTGACAATTATCTTAATGCCCATATGTTTAATTGTGGGATTTCTAATTCCCAGAGCACTGAGCAGCTTCCAACAGGGACTCACTGTTTTGGCACAAAATGGGTTCTCTTCATGTGTGTGTGTGCGTGCGTGCGTGCGTGCGTGCGTGCGTGCGTGCGTGCGTGTGTGCGTGTGTGTGTGTACGTGTGCGTGTGTGCGTGTGTGTACGTGTGTGTGTGTGTGTGTGTGTGTGCGTGTGTGTGTGTGTGTGTGGCGTCCTGCGTTTCCAATCGCTCTCTCTCACCGTCCTGTTCCAGAGCTTTCTGCTCTGAACATATCAGCAGGAATGTGGCCGGATATGACAAAATAATAATCGATATGTTTCTGTGAGAGCTGTTAGAATGTTGCGTTTTATCTTTGGGAACGCTTTAACAATCTGTTAATTTTTGGAGCGAATTAAAATAGATCATGAATACGTTTTCTTTTTTTTTTAAATGTAATTGAAATCAACAAAACAAAAGTGACGTTTTTTGCAGCAATGAATCTAAATAATAATGAAATAATGAGACATGTGAAGGTTATTTTGGCGCATGGCCATTTTTGTGCAATAAATCCCTCTACAGCGGGTGGCCCTTTCACCGGGCACGCGGCTGGGCCTGTGTGTCATCACCATTCGTAGCCACACAACCAATGTGCGTATGATGAAAGTGTTTACAGGAGCCCTTCATGGTCCCACATTGATGCGTTCAACTTTAAAATGTACGCCTCACATTGTTGTCAATGAGTCAATGAGGAATCAAGGTAATTGACGATGATCTGAAAACTGGCTGGTTTTCTTTTTCTTCTCTTCCTCTGTCTGTTGACAGCGACGCCACATGAAAAACTCACAACATGTCAGCTTGTTTGTGTGAGTGTGTATTTCATACGTCTGCTTGCTCCCTTATTTATTATTTGCCTCTTGTCTTCCTCTCCGTCTTTGTCGCTCCGTTCTTCTGCCTTTCATCACCGCCTGATTCCCAAATATAAAATGGCAGCAGCAAGAGACGGTGGCGTACATTTTTAATGGAGGCCTTTTATATTTTTAACATGCCTTTCCTCTCGCTTCCTTCAGTCAGTTCAATGAGGAAAGACAAGGAGACAGACAGAAAAATATAAATAAATGACACATAAACCGATCTGCTGTCGGTGCCACTCAGTCACCGCAAACCGTAGCCCCGCCCACTTGCCCATCGTCCCTCGGGACATCCGGTTGGCTGACAGATAAACCCAATCATGTATTCAATAAAGACACAGTCAGCCATGATTACAGGCTGTGGTTAGGAGGTCGAATTGATCTAAACTTGTCTGTGTTCTGTAGAAATAAGCGCAAAAACTATGAAGTGAATAATGTCTGCTTGATCTAATTTTGTTTGGCCGCCACCGATGAAAACACAGATGTCTAGTGTCTAGCGTTCTAGTGCAACGCGGAGGGTTCTAGTACTGCTCACACCTGTATAACAACAACAACAACAACATAAAAAGCAAAGCCTTGCTAGTGA